CCTCCTCCTCCTTTTTCTCCTCCTCCTCCTATCTTCCTTCGTTCCCCTCCTCCTTTCCTTTCCTTCCTTTTCTTTTCCTCCTTTCTTTTCTTTCCATCTCCTTTCTTTCATTCCATTTTTCCTTTCCTTTCTTTCCTTCTTCCGTCCTTTCTGTCTTTCCCTCTTCTTCTCCACTCATTTCCCTTTATCTTCCCTTCCTTCCTTCCCCTCCTCCTTTCCTTTTCTTTCCTTCTTTTCTTTTCCTCCTTTCTTTTCTTTCCATCTCCTTCCTTTCATTCCATTTTTTCCTTTCCTTTCTTTCCTTCTTCCGTCCTTTCTGTCTTTCCCTCTTCTTCTCCACTCATTTCCCTTTATCTTCCCTTCCTTCCTTCCCCTCCTCCTTTGCTTCCTTCCTTCCTTCTTTCCTTTTCTCCTTTCCTTTCCCTCCCTTCTTTCTTTCTTTCTTTCTTTCTTTTCCTCCACTTCCTCATTTTTCCTTCCCTTTCCTTCCTTCCGTCTTGCATTCTGCTCCCGGTTGTCGCCCTAAGTCGAGGACCACCTGGAGACATCCCCCTTCTTCGCTTCTTCTCTTCCAGGGTTCTGATTGCCATGACCAGTCGTAAGGACGCTCGAGGGATTTTCTCGCTTCTGAACGAAACCACAGGGGTGGACATGCTAACCAGCCAGTATCTTCAGGAGCTGGCGAAGCCTGAAGGGAAAGACACCACCATGCTGGGGGACACAGCCAAAACCCTGATCAACAATTATATCAAAGAAGCAGGAAACCGATGGCCCAGCTGGAGCGTAAGTATCAGCTTGAGATATTTAAAGGAGAATATTTGTAGCTCGGAGTTCAAATGTGGAGTCTTTGGTGCTTTCTGAGCTTAAGGGGGGGGGGGGTTCTTGCAGATGTTTCATAGCCCAACTAGGTAACATCAGTGCTAGAAAGGAGTGGGATTTGGGAGGGGCAGGAGGAGGAAGAAGAGGAGGAGGAGGACTGTGAGATCCTTGGTGCTCTCTGAGCTTAGTTTTTTTGCATGACCCAACTAGGTAATAGCCTCAGTGCTAGAAGGGTTGAGGAGAAAGAGGATGGGGAGGGGGGAAGGAGGAGGACTGTGGGCTCCTTGGTGCCCTCTGAGCTTGGTGGTTTCCTGGAAGACGTTTCATGGCCCAACTAGGTAGCATCATCAGTGCTACCATAGAAGAGAGTGGGGTTTGTAGAGAGAAGGAGGAGGAAGAGACTGTGGGAGTCCTTGGTGCTCTCTGAGCTGGGTGGGTTTTCTTGGAGACGTTTCATAACCCAACTAGGGAACGTCGTGAGTGGTACAAAGGGAATGGGGATTGTGGGGAGGAGGAGGAAGAGGAGAAGAATGAGGAGGAGGAGGAGAAGAATGAGGAGGGGAGGAGGAGAATGAGGAGGAGGAGGAGGAGAAAAAGGAGGAGGAGGAGAGGAGGAGAATGAAGAGGAGGAGGAGGAGAAAAAGGAGGAGGGGGAGGGGGAGGAGGAGAATGAGGAGGAGGAGGAGGAGGAGGAGGAGGAGAAAAAGGAGGAGGAGGGGGGAGGAGGAGAAGAAGAATAAGGAGAAGGAGGAGAAGAATGAGGAGGAGAAAAAGGAGGAGAAAAATAAGGAGGAGGAGGAGAAGAATGAGGAGGAGGAGGAGGAGGAGGAGGAGGAGAAAAAGGAGGAGGAGGGGGGAGGAGGAGAAGAAGAATAAGGAGAAG